CCCACCCCACCCCACCCCTTTTTAAAGTGGTATAAATTGCTTCGATGAATTACAAAATCATCCTCTCGTCAGGCTGGCCCAGGGAGAGTTCTCTAGGTGACCAAGAGCCTGGAGCGGCTACAGAGATCCAGGATTCCGAATCTCGTCATGCCTGTGACCTTGGTGAAGGTCAAATTTTACTGTCCGGCCACGAGACGATCATTGAAGGCCAAGACTGGTGAGTGCTGTTTCTTCTTCTTTCTTCCTCTCTGTCTTCTTATCATTTTTTCCTGTTTCTAGTCCTCTCCTTTCTTTCTTTCTCTCTCTCTCTCTGTCGCTCTCTTTTCTCTCTCTCTCTCTCTCTCTCTCTCTCTCTCCTGTCTCTCTCTCTCTCTCTCTCTCTCTCTCTCTCTCTCTCTCTCTCTCTCTCTCTGTGATATAGATCTTGTATTTTCCCTTCACATGTGAACATAGCAAATTGAATTATGACTTCGGTGAAATGTGACGTAGAAAGATCTGAACCTAGAAAGTGCAAAATTGTAGTGTGAAACATTTACATACGCTGTCCTCAGAGAAATTCGCGCCCGCAACCCGCAAGTTTGCCCTCAGCGCAACTTTTGCGCAACGTAAGTTACGTCACTGACACACTTGGGCAATGTACTCGGGTGGTAGCAACCTTAGGCAGAGAATGTCGTGAGAGGCCAGAGGGGGCAGCCAATGCCGAGGTAGAGACTCTGATAGAGGAGAACAATGAACAGGACGACGTAGTCATCTTCAGAGATGGGTCAGTACAGCATGGGGTCAAATCAGGATGAGCTTTCAGCACCCGTGTAAACGGGGTCATACATCATGTACAGAGAGAGCTGTCAGGCGCCACCAGTATAACCATGTCCAACATAATGTGCATGGCGTTGAAGGCCATCACAGAGGCCCTAAACTGGATTAAGGCGACAGACATCAGTCTGCCATCCTCGTCACTGACTCAATGAGTACCTTCGAAAAAGTAACGAAACGCTTTATGTATTCAGAATGGTGAGAGACAATACGAAGCAACAGACTCACAAAGATTGTATGGATCTGTGGCCCTGTTCATGCAGGAGTCCGAGGCAATTGATGCAACGATAAGCTAGCAGGCCAGGCTGAGATTGGCGGCACAATGCAATTAGATCCACCAACAGTGATGGCAGCATTGCCAGCATGGTTCAATGACTACAGCGATAATGAAGGCACCCCATATTTTGGACGCCACGCACTGCTCTTGTCCCTCGACGAGATCGTACATGGATTTGTTGCATCCTCAGGTTTAAGCCTGCTTCATCGTTGTATAATTCGCTGGCTTGTATATGATGTTGACGCATTGTACAGATCATG